GTGTGTCCTTCCCTGCTTCCCCCTTTTTATTTGTTTATTTCTTTGTGAAAGCAGGAAGACTGGGATGTCTCAGATGCTACAAGTCTGTGAAGTACAGAGGGACACCTTGATGTAGAGAGTGAAAGGTCATGAGAAGGGTAGTTTAGAATAAATTTAAGGACCTTACATGGAAAAAGCGAGCTTGGATAGAACGCAGATATCATAAAGGATCCTCAGAAACAGAAAAGTTATTGTGGAGAAGTTTTGACATAAAAGGGAAGAAGTGCAAGGTGTATGGTTGCTGGATATGGAACAAACCTGAAAGGATATACCCCAAAATTCTAAAAAGCATCTGTGAAGGAGAAAAGATGAAAAGCAGGGTGGCTCTGGTATATTCAGTATGTTTGATTTATAGGACTAATGAAGTGGTCTTCCATTAGGGCAGTTTCTTCTTCATTGCTTTTCTATTATAGAGAACCTTAAAAAAAATTGAGGGGGAAATTTCTTGTGCTACTTTCTTCTCTTTTAATCTGAAAGCCTTTTCCACATGAGAAAGTAAGACATTTCAAACTGTATTTTTTTGCTATATTGCAATTTTTTTTCTTGTAATACTAAGTGTAAAATACACTAAAGTGTATTTGGATCAATAAAAGCTTGTATGTCATTTAGATTCATTTGGCATCAAACTAAAATAAATTGATTGTGTCTTTATTTAAAAAGCCCCACCCTCTCATGTTAGACAGGACTACTCTGACTATATTAAGTTTTGCTAGAGTATTTCTGTGGCTATCAGCAGTCTTTGTCTGCTCTTGTTAAAGAATAAATTGTTTTTCAGTGTTTGAAGAACTGTGGGATGAATTCAAGAGAGAGGCTCAAAGCTAATTGCTATCAGAAGGCAACAAACAAAACAAAAAGCATTCAAAGAACTGATAAAAAAATCTCTTCCTTTCTGAAGTACATCTTTCATTTTGTCTTCTCTTACTCAGTGTCTAGCTGAGAAGATAGGATTGGAACCTTTAATTTTGAAAGTCCTTGTAAAGGATCAGCAAACAATCTTGTTTTCCCTTTTTACTGAAAGGGGGAGCAGGAGTGTCTGTGGTTTGTGAGCAAAAGTGTTTTAGGAGATGAATTAACAATGTAAAATTCCAGTAAAAGTTTGAAAGTGCAAAAGGAACCCAACCTTTAATGCAGTAATCAAAGTGCTGCGTTGGGATTCAGGCTGAGTAACTCAACTCTCATTTATTCTTTGGTTTAAATAAATATATTAGCCATGACCTTATAACAAGTTGTTGCTGGTTTAGTCTGTACCAAAGTAGTTCAAGAATTTGTGTGTGGTTCTGTGTGAAGCCTTGAGTCAGTCATATATCAGGGAATAGTAAACTGGCCCGTTCATTGCCATGCATTTAAGGGGTCAGGCTTCTAACAGGAGTTCTCACAGTATATTACTGGAAAAACTCTCCAACTATTTCAACTGGAAGTCTTCAGAACTCCCCTGTCTGCTTGCTAGTGCTCTGGCAGCATTTCTCCCATTCATAATTGCTTTGGAAGGCTTTCATTAAAATAAGTAGTTATTGACTTCCAGAATCAGATTAGAAACTGCAAAGAACAAAAAGAAAATTTAGATCACTGTCTTCAAGCAAAGTGGAAGTGTCGTTCTTATGTGAAAATATCTTTTCTGAAATGTCACCTGCTTTGTGGTGTTGGCATAATACATAATTTAGAGATCCTGCTTCCGGTTGCTAACCCATTTAATTTGCCATATGCTGATGTCTGGTGCAGAAGTGGTGCTCAGGAGACAGCACACGTCCACTGAGCAGTCCTGCATTTTTGTGTATTTTTACACCGGTTTAACCTGCTCCTAAGACGCTTGCATTTCCAGCCCAGAAGGTGTGCCCTGCAAGAAAGGGGTTGTGTTGTGTGGCTGCTCAGGGTCTCCAAGGGAGGGCAAGTGGAGGAGCCTACAAGAAAGATTGAGAGGGACTTTTTACAGGGGCATGTACGGACAGGACAAGGGGGAATGGCTTCAAACTGAAAGAGAGAATGTTTAGGTTAGATATGAGGAAGAAATTCTTCGCTGTGAGGGTGGGGGCGCTGGAACTGTTCGCCTAGGGAAGTTGTGGATGCCCCATCCCTGGAAGTGTTAAATGCCACATTGGATGGGGCATTGAGAAATCTGTTCTAGTGGAAGGGGTCCCTGTCCACAACAGGGGTGTTGGAACTACATGATGTTTGTTCTCCTTCCAGCCCAGGCCATTCTGTGATTCTATAAAATTGAGAGGTGGTAGCATTCTTCATGAGAGTACATGTATCCTTCCCCCCTCCTCCAGGTCCCTAATTTTGGGGCTCTTAGAGCTGCCAGTCTAGGATCTACTGCTTATAATATACTGCTGCTAGTAAGACCTTGTGATAGGTACTGGATGGGATAAGTAGTAAGCCTGGAAATGATGTAGGAAATTATTCTTGCAGCAGCAGATCTTGCTGCAGTGGAGGATCCCAGAGGCAATTCACAAAGATTTCTGGAAGATTTTTCTTTTAGCGTAACCTTTTAAAATAATTTGAATAGTTTTTAATAACAGTGCTGCTTCAGCCCATTGATACTTTGTTGAACTACCTTGGGTGAAGGCAGAACTTTTGCTTGGGCCAGCTAACTCCTTAGTCCATGCAGACTAAGCTGGTTGTGGCTACCCCTGGGTCGGACTGTGACACCTGGTAGGTGATAAATGTGATACACTGTGTCTGTGAAGAATATACTTTTTTTCATGATCTTGCCTTGTGATGAGGAAGTTGATTTTTGAAGTCCTGAGTTTGTTCTGCCACGTGCCATTATAATTTGGTGGCAGTTTGTGCATGCATTTAGCTTGTCCTGCAGGTTGTACATACTTAAAGCACCAGAAAACTGGAACCACAAAGCTGCACTTTTGTCAGTAGAGACTGTGGTTCTTCATGTTTTTGCTGAAAGAAAAAGACAGAAAGAAGGAATTTTTTTTAAAATAGTGACATGTCCTAAACATTACTGAATGGGGTGATTTTTTCACCAGTATAATTTCTGCTGTTCACCAGGCTTCTTTTTATTGCCATAATACACCACCCATTTCTCTATTATACTTATTGAATTACAAGGCAATGAAGCCAGCTCACTTTATTTAATAAACTTTTATCATTCACAGTAATGACTAATATTCTGGAAGTCTTTCTGTCACTTTAAAAAAAATGTGCTTAAGTCTTCTGAAAGACTGCCCCATTTTAAATGAGCATATGCAGAAGTGGACTGCTGTCACCTCTTCTGATATTTGCTGTTTGGAACTGAAGTAAAACAGTAAAAAACGAAAAGAAAAAAAGTAAAGAAAAGAAAAAGTAAAAAAAGAAAAATCATAATTGGTAGCCCGTAGTGATGCAGTTTTGCCAGTGCTTTATCGTGGAGGTATTGTTCTGTCAGGTACTTACTCTTGCAGAAGCTACAGAGTGATTATTTACTTATGAAGCTAGATGGTATTATGTTTCATGGGGATTTTTGTATTTACATCTTTGCCGTGGCATCTGTTGTGATGATGTGCCTCAAGTTACTCTTTTCCAAAGACTTCAGCCAGACTTTAATAGGGGAAAGAGGAAGATCTGTAGCAGTCTCTTTTATTGGTCATACTTGCACTGCAGTCATGTAATTAAAAAAGAAGCGTCTTAAAATGTTTCCCTGTGCAATCTGTGCTGAAATATGTATCAAACAGAGGAAGTTTGTTTTCAGAGCCTTCCTTGTTACTTATTACTTATTTAAGAGTCCAAGAGGGGATGATCCCAGGAAATTAAGCTGTTGTCTCAGTGCTGTAATTGTGCTGCGATACGATCTCATGTTGAAATGGTATCTCTCTTCTAGATGAAATCTTCTGAGCTGTTGCACGGCATGGGAGGGTGGGGGTTGTGTTATAAAACACACAGATTGAAAATTCGCCACTCGGTAAAAGGTGCTAAAGTTACAGTGAGGAGGGATATTCCCCTTACTGCTAATAAAATTGTCATGATTTCAAGGACACCGCTGCAGTGCCCTTAGCAGAAGCTCAAAGCTGCAATTTGTGTCGGGCCTGATGGAGGGTGAACAGGTGGATAATGGGACTGTAACAGCAGGGTAACAGTGAGAAAGGAGAGCTGATACACAGCGATAATTGCATGTTAATTAAGGAGAGAAAGAGGGAGGCAGGTAGATGTGGGCTGTAAATGCTGCAAAAGAGACTGATAGAGGGGAAAAGAAAAGTATGACTGATGGTCCCTTTGGTGGCTTAGAGATGGAGGCTGCAGGAAGAGCACATGGGGCTGCCTTTCGGGGGTTTGCAAGATGCTGCTCCCCTTACCCATCCGTCTCTGGTTAGGGTGCTGTGGAGATGAAGAGACCCTCAGTCCTGCTGTCAGCTTCACAGCTGGTTCCTGTCAGTGACGAGAGGGTTGACTGCTGGTGAGGCATCTGTCTGTACATGGGGGCTGTGTTACAGGGCTGGAGGCTGCCCAGCCTGGCTCTTCACCGGTCCAGAGCAGGGCTGTTGAAGCCAGGTGTCAGCTTCCTGCCTGTAACCAGAGAAAGAGTGTTTAACTAAATGGAATTGGTACCGCAGAAGTAACGCTGCACATGCTGTACAGTATATCAATTAATTTCACATGCCCCAGAAACTCTGGAGATAGCATGCTTAATGTTATCTCCTACCTCACTTAATGGGATTTTATTAGAAAATTATATTGAAGTGGATAGAGGGTGAGGGAGAAATTGAACAGCATTGTGAACAGACTGTTGAAAATGATCAGGTTACCGCAGCCTAATGAGTTAAGGCAATGGGAATGGGCATAAGCTGCTACCTGGGTGGTTTTGACTGATGTGCTCTCTAATTGCAGTGGGATAGAAATTAATGACTTGCCAGCTGCTGTCCTGCATCTAATACAAAAAATGTTGCAGAAACCCAGTGTTTTTGCAGCATCTGCCACTTCACACGCTTTTCTTAGAGACTGCTATTCTAAATATAATGGTCCTAGTGTCTACCATAATGCCTGATGTTTCTGTTTTACAAGTGAGTAGCAGAGAAGAACTTGGATACTCTACATGGAAATGCAGACCTTTCCATCATTACTTTGGGCTCAGTCAGGTTTTTAGTAAGTTCAGCAAGTCCCTAAGGACACATGAGAAGCAGCTGTAGGCCAGCGCTGATAGGCATTACCATGCAGCTGTAAGCAGCATTAAGGCAGGGATTTATACAGTCAATAAGCTCAGTGTTATAGGTGGGGTAAGCCTGAGAACGTGACAGAGGTGGCAACAACTTTCACCCTTTGGTTGCTTTTCTTGAGAGGAAGAAATTGGGGAAAATTGCTGGCCACCTTTATCCAAAGGATTGTTATGGTTTTGCAAATCTGTATTTCTTATCTGTCATTAGAGAAGAGTGTTAATCTGTTCCAGCACACGTGTGCTAACAGCTCTGGGGGGGTGCTGTGTGTTGCAGACCTACATTGGTTCGATAGTTGCATCTGTGAACCCCTACAAGAGCATCCCGGGGCTGTACGACCGTGCCGCCGTGGAGCGGTACAGCAAGCACCACATGGGAGAGATCGCGCCTCACATCTTCGCCGTGGCCAACGAGTGCTACCGCTGCCTCTGGAAGCGCCACGACAACCAGTGCATCCTCATCAGGTGAGTGGGGGCTGCTGCTGCCCCTCTGGGTGTCCCTGATGGTGAGCTCTTCAAGGTGGTTTGGGAGCATGGCTGTGGGCCATGTGGGGAGAGCTCCAAAAGAAAGCAGGCTTTTTAAACAGCACCGTTTCAAGAGAGTTCTGAACTTGTTTTGTGTCATTCTGTGCGCCTCTAACAAAACGTATTGGTTTTTTTTTTATGCATCTTACAATTATATTTAGTGAAAAAACTCTGTTGAATTTTTGGGCATTTTTTGGTCTTCACACATCAAATGTTACCTTAGTGTTTTCCCACCAGTTTAAACATCTCTGTGCAGCTCAGTAGTTTGTCGCCACTGGACCTTGATTCCTGTATGGGGAGGAAAAGAAAAAAATTACCCTACGAGTTCTTGAGATATGCAGTAAATAAGAATAGCAAGAGAGAAACCCCTCCACATTTCAGCCACTTAATTCTGCCTGATTAATCTTCCTTGCTTAATCTTGTTGTGCTTTAATTTAATGGTGATTTAATAGCTTCCCGTTTGAACCACTGTGCCGCTGGTATTCAGGATCTGGCTGTGGCCGAGTGTGCGTTAGGGAGCAGTTGGCATTTCAATAGCTTTTCACTGCTTTCAGCTCCTCCTTCCTTCTGGCTCCAGAAGAGCTGGAAACGCAGCCAGCTCTTTTCCCATTCCCTAGCCTGCCAGCTCAGCTGTGTTGGCGCATACACAGGCAGGGAGACCAAAGTCTGGCCCACCAGATAGGGAGGAGCAGGTCACTGCAGCATGGCCCCGACCACTGGGCTCCGGACAGGGGGTGATGCTCAGAGGGGTAGGAGACCTTGTGTTTCCCCTGCCTCTCCTCTCTTGCCTTCACAACATTTTTGTGATTAGGCCTACTTGCTGTCACCTTCCTGCACCCCAAAGTTACGTGTGTAGAGCTCTTGAGGCATGAGTTGCCATAATTTTGGCTGTCTCCAGACCTCCCCAGGAGTTCTTGTGGTGGCTGTAGGACTGGCTGCAGCATGGGGCAGATGGTGGGACAGAGAGGGGATGAGGCAGAGTGAGAGCAGCACCTTTGGCAATAGGCAGTTTCTACTGACATTTCAGATTGTGGGCCAGGTTGCAAGGCTTCATGGATGAGAGGGGGATTGGGTGCATGTAGTTCAGCACCCAAGCTGTTGTTAGAAATGTGGATTAGCTGCAACACAGCCAGGCCTGCCTTGCAACTTTGTGCAGGCTCTCAGGTCACAGTGCCCACCTGCCCTGGCCTCTAGGCAGGTTCTGCTTTGCAGTGACACAAAGCTGAAGAGTGTGTTTTTTCCAGCTTTCTTTAACTGTTTTTCTCCTTCCTATTATTTAATACATAGTTCTGTACATATAAAGATGAGCTCAGGTAAGAGTCGAAACAAAAACAAAATTCACAGAGATTTTTGTTATGTGACAATAGCTAGCCTGGAGTCATGATTTTGTTTTTTATTGCTAGGCTGTTACTTGTGAACAGCCTGTGTACACAAATTTAGGGACTAAAACAATTTCTGGTGGCCATTGGTATTTTTGCCCTTCTGTACTAGTCTCAGTATTTTACCTTTCATTCCAGTTCCTTACAAGCTGCCAGGAGGAAAGGAGGTTATGTCCTAAAATGGACATAAGCAGAAGTCTGTGATGTTCCAGGGGAGTGTTCAGCATTTTCTGCTCTGTAAACCATGTACTTTGGTACAGATAAGCCATAATATGGAGGATTTTTTATTAGGAATCCCTTTTAAAATTGTTTACTGTGGATATGGATTGAAACAGTGATTTGTGTAAGTTCTGTGTTTCAGATAAGTGGCACAATACAACCATATAAGGGTGTCCTGTTACTGCAGAAATTGAGGAAACATGCAATTCAGATTTTAAAAAATTGAATGCCAAATCTGCTTTCCTAAAAGAGCATTATCTGCTCTATCTGTGAGGGACTCAGAATAGGATTTTTTAAGATTATTGAAAGTTTCCATGGCCTTCCTACAGCTTAGGAAAGTCCCTGTTGTCACATGCCTAGTTTAGGGCATAGGAAGTGGGACGTATAACAGTGTACTTGGCAAATTCAGCATCCTGATCATTCCTGCATCTTTTACTGGCTTAGAATTAGGCATTGTAACAAGTCACTGTACTGTCACTGTAACTTTCTTGGTTACTACCGGCATTTGAAAAAGAACATAGCCAAGTGGAGCTCTTTACTGTTTTAACTCAGATAAATATAGAGATGATGAAGAGGAAAATTCTGTTGCACCTCGAAAACACGGTGGTTAAAATGAGGGAATTATTCACATTCTGATAGGCAGTTTGAGCTGCTCCTGACCTTGGGATCTCAGCATTAGGTAGTAAATTGTAACAGCCTCACAAAGGCAGGCGCTTGGGTTGCTTTCTGATGTTCCTCTGGACTTGAAGTGCCCCCTGCTGGCCCTCGGAATTAGCTCAGCTTTGGTTTGGAGTTGCTTTCTTCATGCTTTCGGTTCAAAACCTGTGAAAAAGCTTCTAGTGTTTTGAAATATTAATATTTGGATATTTTTCTGGCTGGGGTGGGGTGAGAGGGAGAATTGCAGAACATGAATTAGAAAAACTCAGAATATCATTTAAATGTGAGACCATTTTTCCTGTATAACCATCCAGGTCAGAGGTGAAAAGGAAGGAAATACAGAAGAGATGATAAATTGAAACACCTAGAGATGCTTATTTATTGGTGTGTGTAACAGGCATTAATTCATGATAATGCTGCATAAAAAGGACTTATCAGTCTAAGATGTCAACAAAACGGCACACTGAAGAAGCTGTACACAACTGGTGTATTAGAATATGTACATAGTTGTGAAATGGTGTTTTAACTCTCCCAGGCTAAAAAACTGGAGTTTTTTTCTGTAGACAAAAAGATCTGCATCAATGACTTCTCAGTTTCATGTTGGTCTGAACCATTACTGCAGGGTCCAGTTTCATTTAAAACGGGGGGGAAAACCCCACCATGTTAAAAACATCTTCTGATTTTTCAGCTGGGTGCCTCAGGAACATGAAGAACGTCCATCTAATTTGAGCAATAGCCAAGTAGCTTGTCCTGGTGGAGGAAAGAGGCTGAGCTGCCCCATGATTAGCTGAAGTTTACAAGTTGAGACCAAGTTCAAACCTCCATGCCTTTTTTGCAAGAATAGGAAAATATCTTCAGGTTTGGTTTGGTTGGGGTTTTTTTGCTGCTCTGTTTAAGGTGGTCTAGTCTGTGCAGAAGCAAAAACATGCTTTTCTCTCAGATAAAATTGTAATTGATCCACGTCAGAGCACTCCCAAAGAAGTGTAAGAGGAGCCACAACCGTTGCTCTGTATGACATTCAAGTCAGTGCCATGAGTGGGAAATCACTGTCTGATACCAATTTGTTTGCTCTCTTATTATTATCTCACGGCCTGAAACTTTTTGTTATTGTTTTTCAGCTTGAAATTCAATATGAAACAAATCTTTTGTATGGGACGCAGATCTGTGATGGGTGTAGTGTCCTTGTGAGACTGATGCACCAAAGTTCAGATGTGCATTTGATGAAGTGTATTTGCTGAAGGGGCCTGTTTTGTCTGTGTGAATCTGCCTTGGGGTTTTAAAGGCAGCAGACTGTAAGGCCCCAAAAACCTCACTTGATGAGACTCTTGAAAGGATTTATGGTTGTTCATGTACTCAGATGCACAGGAGAAGTACTGAGAAGATATTCTCAAGGGGTCAAAACAAAAAAAAAAAAAAAAAAGCTGGCAACTTTAGAAAGTCAGAGAACTTTTGCAAAGGCTTAGAGCAGCATTCCATCAACATAAAACTCTTCTCGAAGCATTAACTTAGCACTTTAACTTTGCAAACTCTAAGCTCATCCAATTTTAAGTTACACTAAACTCTGAGAAGAGGGAGTTAGAGGGAGAAAGTGAGAAAGGCAGAAAAGATACAGAAACAAATAAGTATAGCTACCACTCCTGGTTCCAGAGGTGTTCAGCTGGTAGAAATTCCAAGAGGAGGTAGGGTCAAGATGTGTAGACCTCCTGTCTCAGTTCAAGTATCCTTTGGCCTTCCTGGGCCCTTCTGTGGGGCTTCTGGTCATTTGGCCCTCAGGAGATGGGTTGGGGGTTCCAGAGGTGTCATGGAGCAGTGCCTTTGGTGTGTCAGCGATTAGCAGCCACTGCAGACTGTTCTTCTGACTCTTACCCAGACAGAATAGGGAAATGATTTAGTGTTATGTCCTTCAGCATGAGGAGTCTCTCTTAGTGACCCCTTTTTATGCTGTGGCAGTCATGAGTGCAGGCTGCTGTGCCCTTAGCCCTGCATAGAACAAATCACGGAGAAAGTCTAAAGATCTTCTAAGTGGGGGCCTTCTGGCCTGATGTCAGACTTAATATGTTCACAGTCCTGAACGTAGTGATGTGGAACAAGCTGCACACTTAAACTCATGGCTGGAAAGGTTGCTGGAAAGGTTGCACTAAAAAATTCACCCTTTTACTGACCTTGTAGGTGAAAGCTTTCTAAGCACTCTGAAAGGTTGATCCCATGTAACTGTAAAAGTGTATAGAATGGAGTGGTTACTACTAAATGAGTAGAGAACATTGTGTAAATCCATCCTTTGGACTTTGTGGAACTGAAGGTGGTTCAGAGAAAAATTTTAAAAAAGTAATAAAAATATAACATGGGAAATGGCTAATGGAAACAGGCACCTTGAATTTGGGGCACTAACCATCAAGCCACGCACAGCAGAAAGAGCGTTAAAAAAGTAATAAAAATATAACATGGGAAATGGCTAATGGAAACAGGCACTAACCCAGGAATTTGGGGCACTAACCATCAAGCCATGCACAGCAGAAAGAGCTCCAGGATGAATTGTTGGCTTCTCCTTCCACCATGAGAACTGAGAGGTATCAAATGAAGCTAATAGAAAGTGGATCTGAAAAAAACAAGATCATTTGCTTTTCAAGGTAGTATGGCTAGAAACTCATAGAAAATAAATATATGGAGGGTTACAAGACATGTAAAAACCAGATTTAGATCAGGAAGCCTCTGAACAGCAAAGAGTTGGAAGCTGGAAGAACACAGAAGGGAAATAATCTATGTCTTTCATGGGCATCTCCAATTGGCAACTGTCAAAATAGAACACTGGGCAGGTCCAGAATTGAACCAGTTCTGAGTCTCCCTGTTCTGAGAAAAAAACAAGAGCGTGTAATTGTTCATAATGCCAGCTGTACCAGAGAGAGGTGCAGGAGATATTTTTCCATCAGCTTTGAATGAATGGCACTTGTAGAATGGCTCTCGGCTACAGTGGGGTAACTTTCAGCTTCCACAGAACTACAGATTCTGCAGACCGAGGGACAGTGGGGCAGAGGAAGGATGGTATCAATGAAAGACGTGATGTCCTCAATGTCACCTTGTGCCTGCTGTTGAGCTATATGCATGGCTCAGAGGGAGAGAATTGAGCAGGAAGAGGTGTGTGTTACTTGATGATTTATTGCACTAAACAAGAATAATGCAAGGGTTTGTGAAGCTCTCTCAGAGCTACTAGTAAAAATCTGTTTTTTATGGTGAGTATTGAATGCAGGAATATTAAGTATTTCTTCTTGGGCAGAAGAGATGAGTGAGTGAGGGCCTGCAAAGAGAAGGGGAAGGAATACTGAAAAGGCCAGACGTCAAGGGTAAAATTACATAAAAAACACTACAGAATTTGTTTGATGTGGTATAAATGTAATGGATGAATCACACTTGCTGGAACATACTGGCAGTTATGAAGATGTCTCACTATGTTTCCTGAATGTCTCTTCCCTAATTTTATTATTGACATTCATTTGCAGGAAAATGTCATGCTGTATTTATGGGCAATGCCTTTCTTCCATGCATTTTACTAGAAAGCATCATTACACTTTGTTTTAACCTAAAATCACTGGGGTCATTACACAGCAATGGCACAACAAAAGACTGTAAATTATCTAGGCTTGCTCCACATGCCCAGTTGTGCTCCATCAAAGTCAAAATTCCCACTTGCTACAATGGAAAAGATGAAGTAAGACCAAAATGTACCCTCTTTCTTTGGGAATATACGGGAATTAGGTACAGCTTAATGAGGAGCAAAGCCACAGTTTAGGATACAATGCTATTACTGTAGATTAAGACTGAGCAAATTAGACAAACTTTCCCTACAAGTTATTTTTCTTAATGGCTTACAGTGTCTGTTTAGACTACATAATTGAAGGGAAAGGGCATTGGGGAAATGAGCCAAATCTAAACTTTCCCTTTTTAAAGTGTTGGTTTTGAAGAGAAACTGAGTATATTGCCTTCTGTTTGTATCAGCAGGGTTGCTTATTAATAATTTGCTTTTAAAATGTCAATTTAGCATTATCAAATAGCTTTGTTCTCCTTTGGGTGGTGATGAAAGGTTTTATATCTCTGATGGTAATGAGAGGTGGAAATTGGATATTTTGAACTCACATGGATCTGGTTTGTTTAAACAGGTACATAAAAAGTTTGTTTAAAGAGTATGTAGCTCGCTAAGAATTTCAGTATTAATTGTACAAGTGGCCTTTATGTGTGAGAATGTGCATTGGTGTCTCTAACTTCCTCCTCCTCCCAGCAGGGCTCCTTCATTAGCTAGACTGCTGCAGTGTTTACCAAACTCTCCCATATAATTCTTCGTTTGGTTTTTATCCCTTTGCCATGTCTTTGTTGTAAGTTTGTTTTAACATGATGGTGGGAAGTGCTGGATAATTGTTTACATTCAGAGAGCTCTTTGTTGCCTCCTAGGTGTGTGTACATATGCAGTCAGCACCTTGAAATGCTGTCTGGGCAGTTATAAAGCTTAGGGAAAGTTATAAAGCTTAGGGACAGTTTTTTCTTGGATGTCATATTCAGGAAGTTTAATGAGGTTTTCTGGCTTCATTTGACCATCACTTCTAATCTCCCCAGTCTTCCTGACCTCCAGTAATGTAGAGTTTGGGTGCCTAGCCTGAGGGCTTCTTCACTGGACACTGGGACTGTGCAAACCATTTCCTCATCTTCTTTCAGTGGCGAAAGTGGTGCTGGGAAGACGGAGAGCACTAAGCTGATTCTCAAGTTCTTGTCTGCAATGAGCCAGCATTCACTGGAGCTGTCCTCCAGAGAGAAGACCTCTTGTGTGGAGCAAGCTATTCTTGAGAGCAGGTATAGGATCTTTCAATACATGGGTATTTTTTTCAGAAGACATAAACCTTGACATTGAAATAAGATCTTGCAATGTAATCAAATATGTTTGTGTGTGTTTACTGAAAAAAAAAGTAAAAGTAAAGTGTGTACTGGAGAAAGGGAAGTACTCCATTAAACAAAATTACCTGGCTGCTCTAGAGAATTGTGAGCATGGTGGTATCTCTTAGTGAAGCAAAAATACGCAGAGTTTTGAATTGCATGAAGCTTTAATGGTGGCTTTCATTTTTGTTTGGGGCTGAATTCAGATAATCAGAGTAAGGGAAATGGGTGATGGGAGGGGGAAACCTTTGGTTCAGTTTGTGTAGCCTGAGGATGTGGTAGAACAAGATACAGCATGGTGAGGATAAAGTGCTCAAGTGGTAAAAGCATGCTGAGGAAAGGGAGGATAAGGAGAGCTGATAAGACAGATGAGAAAATGTATCAGATAAATTGGACACAATCTATGCAAGCAAAAAAGAAATCTTGGTGTTGACGTGAAATTACATGGTTCTAAACTATTTAAAAACAAAGGCAATTTGAGATGCTATTACTTCTGTTTATCTTGCTTCATCTCTGCTGTACATGCTGTATCTTGATGTAGTTATTTTTTTTAATTTCCCTAGGACAAGGACTCCTTGCATCTATCTAGCAATTTGCATGTGCTGAGATTTCTTATTTCTATCATTTGAGTACTGCAGTGAGAATTCTTTTGAGCAATTACAAAAGAAGTGGGAAGCAGCAGTTACAACTCTGAAGCTACAGAGTAGTTCAGTGTGATATTTCTTCCTGTTGCATGAATACTTGCATCTTCTGCTAGAAAACTGAGATGCCCATTGCTAAAGGGAGGGTAATGCTGGGGTGTAGGCTGCTGCTGATTAGAGTGTCAGAGGGGGAGCTTGTCAGAGTGCTGCTCCTTTCACCAGCCCCATGTGAAGTTGTTGGCATGCTGGTCACATGTTAACACTCCTGTCGTTCTCTGTCTTCACAGTCCAATTATGGAAGCTTTTGGCAATGCAAAGACTGTTTACAACAACAACTCAAGCCGCTTTGGGAAGTTTATTCAGCTGAACATCTGTCAGAAAGGGAACATTCAGGGAGGAAGAATTATGGATTGTATCCTTGTTTGGTGATTTGACCCCTGTTTGTGGGAAGTGCCCATGTACCTCCTTGATGGAAGACTGAGGGAGAACTGGCCTGCATTTGTCTGTTCTTTCACCCCATCCTGAAATATACACAGTTAAACTGAGCTGGTGTAGCTGGGAAGGGGAAGCAGCAACACCAAATTCACACGTGCACACATGCTTTTGTAGTGGGTGGGATGTAAGTACTCTTGGAGGAGCAGCACTTCGGATTGCTGCCACTAGCATGACATGGCTTGTGTGTATTTCCCATGTAATGAGCTAAAACAGCCTGGGTCCTCGGGAGTAACTTGTCAGCCATTTCTCTCATTACTGTATCCAAAGATAAGCTGCTTACTTCTCTGGAAAAGTATGTGAAAGAGCAGAGCTGTTCAATTTCTGCAGTGTGAGTCTGGGTGGGTTAAATCCTCAGATTTGTCCTGCATTTGGCAAAATCAGACTATGAGCCAGCTCCACCAGAGCGGCAGAGTTGTGAGGATGAGGAATATTCCAAGGAGATCCTACCTGCTGTTTTAAACATAAGCTGCTTTTTCAGTGGGAAAAATTTAATTCTTGAGGTTGTTTCCTAGTTTTAAGGGAAGAAAAAGAAAGCAAAGGAAAACAGATGTAATTTAAAATGCAGAATCTGCCAAGTGCAGTTTTGGTGGGATGGAAGGGAAGGTGTTGCTACACAGATATTAGAACTGCTACAATATTATCATTGTTGCTACTGTATTTATCTTCTTGTAGGTGTATTGTATGAAACAGGTTTAGCATGTTTTAAAAAAAGACCATGATAGTCTTCCTATTGTCTCAAACAAAAGAAGGAAGATTATAAAAAGCTTCTGCATGAATTGATTTTTACTTTATTCCTTGACTGAAGCTTTTCTTGCTGGCTCCAGATTTATTGGAAAAAGTAAGTTGATGTTTGCTTTTGCTTAGTTAATTGTTTTTTATTAAATTTTTGTCTGAAACTGTGGATAAAAAAATTTGTCTTCAAAAGTGATCACTTAAGTGGAAACTATTTTTTGCTTTGACAGAATCGTGTAGTAAGACAAAACCCCGGGGAAAGAAATTATCATATATTCTATGCTCTGCTGGCAGGGATAGAAGAGAGAGAGAAAGGTGAGTGGCAAAGCACAAGTCACACAGCTGTTTGGTTTTCTGCTAGCAGTCAGCAGTGGTGACAGCAGTGGAGAATTTAACTGCAGAAACCCACTAACCCAAGCTGAGAAATAGGTTATTTATTCAGCTGAGTGTGAATTTGAGCTCAACTTGATAAAGAAACCCACTTAGCTGAAGAATGTCACTGAGCTGACGGTAGTTTTCCTCCCAGCTTCTGCTGTGGCCTTGGGAAAATTGCTTGGGGACAAACTTGCCTCATTGTGTTCAAACTGAATATTTTTGCTGGTACTAAATAACTCCACAGCAACAAAGATAAATAATTCTGGTTGCTCTAATCCTTTCTCATAAAGAATAAATCCACTGAACAAAAGAAATGCCATTTGTATACGTGCAAAATTGCCTAAAGCTGTTTCAGCATCTCCCTGTGGGCCTGCTGTCTTTGCATGCTAAAAAGTAGAGTTAACTCTATTATGCAGCTAAATAAAACAAAACCCAGCAAAATAACTCCCCATCTGATTTGAATGTAAAACCTTGTCTTGTGCATTGTCATAATTTCTGAGCAGATGAATTGTGAACTGTTGAAGTCTGACATAGTCACTTGTGGAGTACTTCTGTTTTGGTATTCCTATTCACTCACCCTGTTTTCTCTCATTAGATGCTTTTTACTTATCTGTACCTGAGAACTACCACTACCTGAACCAGTCTGGATGTATAGCGGATAAGACAATCAGTGACAAGGATTCTTTCCAGGAAGTCATTGTGAGTTGCTTCCTTAGATCTTTTGCTTTAAAAGTGCTGGAAGTTCAGGTGTGTGGAACCCATTGGCAAAGCAGGGTACAAAGCCTTCCTGTGCTTTCCTCCATGTGCAGCTCTCTCATTGGGGCATTAATCTTACAGGGACTTATACTTTCTCAGAATGCTTCACTTTCATTTTGAGCATGCCTTTATCTTTCCTCCATTCATTGGGGCATTAATCTTACAGGGACTTATACTTTCTCAGAATGCTTCAGCATGCCTTTATCTATCCTCCAGAAGCAAAATGCTTACATCTTGAAATGAAAAGAATGTCTGTTGGGGAAAGCATGTTTACATGCTTTTGCCTTTCCCTGCATTGTTTTATATTACTGATATGTATGCATATACATATACACGTATATATATACACATGCACATATACATACATACATACATACACACATACATATATATATATCAATCACTGTTTTTCAATCTGAAAGCTTTGCCCAGTTCATATGTCATATGGCATCTATCTACTGGGTGGAGTTTGCAATACAGCACACAGGGAGCTGTGACTCTAAGTTGCAGCTGGAAAATGCAGTTGTATGGAGTAACTTACACAACAGAGTTATGAAAATATAAGCACAGATTAAAAACCCGGGTCCTGATGGAATCTCTCTGAATGGCTTTGTGTTCTCACCTCCACAGCAATTAGTCCATGCTGACCACACTAATTGGGTATTGTAGCACTGAGGTGATGGGTGTTAGATTTTAAAAATCAGATAAAACGTTTGGTTTTACGCCCTTCACCAAACTGTTTTTGCTTAGCTATGTTAATCTTTTTGCCAAACTGATTAACTAATGTCTAGATTTTTTCAGTGTAAAAATCCCTCATCTTGTATGGCAGAAGGAGGTGTTAGAAATGTTGGCAACTTAGCTATATTGTAGTCACATGCTGCAGTTGGTTATCATGACATTCAATTTATGATAATCATCCCAGGCTAGGTGATGTTTGCCTGCTGCCTGCAGCATGATGTTTGCCTGCTGCCTGCAGCGTGGGCAGGCTGGGAGCCCAGCTGCCAGACTGCAAGGCTGCATTCCCAGAGCAGGAGGTGGGCAGAAACCCCCAGAGCTCACCCTCACCTGCCTTTTCCTGTTATAGTCATCTCCTTTGCCTGCTTTTATTGCAGTGTAAGTCTTGGAAGTGTTACTTAAGGGACACTTTTTTGTGGGAGACAGGAAGGAGCAGCACAGTGCGCAGGGAGATGAACTTGTAGTGCTGCTTCCCTTTAGTTGTGAGAGGTCTGCTTTACAAAATAAACCTTCAGCCATTATGTCTGCCCTGCTTTGAATTGTGGGATGAGTCTGAGGCTTTTCCATTTGAAATGGGTGATTTATGAAAGATAAAATGTGTCATCTGTCAAACACCTGCAGTGACTATAACATGATGAGTCTGACTGTCAGAGCACAAAACAGTGATCTGGTCTCAGGCTCATATTACACCCAAATTTGGAAAGTTTGGTCATTTCAAGAGGCTTACAGTTACCTTTTCTGTGTCAAAGGAAAGCATGTGTTCCTCCTGTTTTAGTGTTTCTTTTAATATTTTACTATTTACTCTTCTCCTCATTTATGTAGTTGAGCCTTGATTGTTGCCATATTGTTTATTCATAAATTCAACACTTTTTATATAGATACCTTTCTTCTTCAGTTTGACTGGAAGTTGTCAGACCACACTGTTAAGGTGCGTGTTTGGGCACAAAAATTATCAAATCTTACATGCTGCTGTGTTTTCTCCCCCGTGCCTTGTTACCTACAAGGCCAGTAGGCAAATTTTGGTAAAAACATGTGGGAGGTAATCAATTAATAATTCAAATTATAGTAATTGCATCTGATGCACAACTCAGCAGGTCGTTCCAATATTTATATGATTTTAATGGTGAATTTGAAAGCAAATTGCAATATCATTACAGCATCAAAATGAAATTTCTTAAAAGCAGAGTGATGCTTACATGTTCCAAGATGTCCCGGTGATGCCTTGGAGTGTATTCAGTTTGGGATGAAACCAAAGGAATGGACTCAAGCCAGCTCTCTTTTAGTCCTGACTTGCTTTCCTAGGGCCTCCCATTTTTGACTCTGTGCATGTTATTGAAGAAGCTCAAATGTCATTCCAGACTGCAATGGAAGTGATGGAGTTCAGCAGGGAGGAAGTACGAGAAGTTCTGAGGCTGTTGGCTGGCATTTTGCATCTGGGAAATGTTGAGTTCATCACTGCTGGAGGGGCACAAGTGTCCTTTAAAACAGGTGAGAAGGCTGTGCATCCTAAACTGAATGTTTCCTGGGGTTCTGAAAGCCTTATTTGTTGTCATTGTATCTGAACATAGCGAGGACAAGGAGTGAAAGGGTTTTCCTGCTTTTTAACATCTGTAAAAGTTGATTAAAATGTTACTTTGGGAGGATGGGGTTTGACAGATAAGGCAAAGTAGTCTGCTGCTGGTTGCTGGGTCTTAATTTGGGAAGACGTTGGACACATATTCCATTAACAGTAATGAAATTCTATTTGAATCTAATTCCTTCTTTGAAATATTCTCAAGCTGATATAACATATGTGCTGAAAAACATTCCTTAACCAGGATCTCCACTGAAAGTATCTTTTTTTTAGAGCTTTCAGTATTTCAAGTACATATCTGAAAGAATGTGTTGGTACCTTTAAAGATTGAGCTGCTGGGCATTTAAAATGTTTGTTTAAGTATGGCATGAGAGAGTAGCATTATGTACTGTTTTATATACCACATTATAGCAAAACTGAAGATTAAAGTATGCATGGAATAAAAATTTCATTGGTTAATCCTCAACATCCCAAGGAAAATGGAAACACATTCATGTGGACAAAGAGTCAATTAATGTTTGTGTCTGGAAAAATATGTTAGTAGATTGGTTAAGTACTTGATGTAGCATTAAGAGGAAAATAAATATTTGTAATTTACTTGTGATGTATTCTACTACTAATTTCCTTCACATTTATGCCTTTTCATGAACAGCAAAACAGTAATCTAGAATTTCTCATTGTGTTTTCATCTCTAATTCCTGTCATTTCAGGAGTGTCTTAAATTATGGTGGTGGAAATCTGAAAGAATTTTGACAATATCATGTTCACCTGAAGTCTTAGTTCACAACTACCTTAGCTTCCTTTGAAAGTTTCTATCTGGAGCTGTGTATTTTATAAAAGCAAGCTGATTTTACTGTAATTTTCAAAATAAATACACCAGCTTCTCCTATTTCTACAACTAAAATAATTTCAATAAAAAGGCCTGCTTTATTTTCCTTTAGGGAAGGACTAATTTGGGAAGATATTGACTGGACAGACAATGGAGAGTGCTTGGATCTTATTGAAAAGGTAAGAAAGAGTTTGATACTCTTACCTATTTTTAGTTTTTTGTTCTGATGTAATGTCTTTAAAACATTTGTCAACATGTAGTAGCAAAGAACAAGTGAAGAAAATGGTGGATATTGCATGTTTAAATAGCAAACTTTTAATCAGATCATTTTCATGTAAGGCTATATTAAAGATTATATTGTGAGCTCTTTTCCTTGCAGCAACTTTTCACCATGTGTGATTATATAAAAAAGCAGTATTTGGAGATGATAAAAAAGAACCATTTGATCCATGCTCTCTCTTGCCATCAGTGCAAGGCAGGCTGTGTGAGCTTATCTCCATGGCAGGGTGTGTGACTGCAAGAGTTCAGACGGGCACGGAAGCGAGCGGCAGCGGGCAGGGGATCCAGCGGCAGGACGTGACTGCAGTCAGGGCAGGGTGGCTTTTCAGGAGCTGCTCTGAGCCCTTGGGAAGTGGCTTATTAAAATGTGCCCCTGGACACCTGTGTTTTCCTGAGAGGCTGTTATCAGCCTGGAGCTTGCTGGACACATTAATTAACTGTGGGGTAGCTTGCTTTGTTTACCACCTCTTCCAGCATGAGAAGTGGGGAACATCAAAGGAAATCACACAGAGGCATATGTAAAGCAAAGGGAGGTTGTGCTTCACCCAGGGTGAAGTTAAACTGTGTATCTTTTGCTCTGCCCCTGGGCACTGTGGGTGCTAAAAGTTTGCATTGGTTCAACAACTGGGTGGATAATTATATGGAACAAATTTTTTGGAAGGCTGTTTTACACAAACTCCTCAGACTTCTGATCACTGGAGATCTTGGAGGCTGGGGATATATTCTGGGGCAATGTCATTGTATGCATCTAAAAACTGCCTGCATCAGGAGAACGGATTCTTCCAGTAGCTTGTTTTTCTTTATTTTGCCCGCAGATCATATGCTCTATATTTCAAAAGGAGCATTGCCATAAAACCAGGATTACAGTTACCTTCAATAATGGGGTTTTATTTGTATATGAGTGGTTTTGTGCCTCTCTGCACACAGAAATTTCAAGGATGGTGATTTTTCCAAACAGGGGAGAACAGCTGTGTCCCTCCATGCACTAATTCATCTTCTGCTTCTTCTTCCTGTTCTAGAAACTGGGACTACTGGCACTCATCAATGAGGAGAGCCATTTTCCTCAAGCTACTGACTCCACCTTACTGGAGAAGTTGAATGCCCAGCATGCTGTATGTGATGTTTTGCTGATATTTGCTGTGCAAATTGTATGGGATCTCTTTGCTTTGGTAGAAATGCATGGTTCAAACATATGGGTGCATAGTTCTAGAGGCTTTTTTGGATGTGATCCTACTTCCGTGGCAATCCATATACTTTGCTGACAAGGCTGAGTTGTTTGCTGGAAGAACATATCCTTGTTGCTGTTCACTTAAAGGTTCTATTGTGGTGAATAAGTCAAATTCTACTCTTAATGAGAGCTCTGTCAGCCTGCAGTAGCTCAGATTATATAGATCTTCAATTTCCCTTGATGTAATAAAGCATTCACCTTGATGTCATTTACTGAAATTTTGCTCTTTCCTCTGTCCAGATTAGTGTTACCTATATTTGTGATACTGGAATTATTTTTCACGATTTCTGGTATGCAGGCATATCCACCAATCTTCATAACTGCCAGTTTCAGACAGAGCCTTCTCTTTCAAAGTGCCTTTTATAGATGGTTCTGCCAGATGGGGTTCAGGTTTAGTATAATGCCTTTTTATGTGCTATAAATCTGTTATTACTGCATTTGAAGCCGCCCAGACTAACAATCCTATTATCGTGAGTTGCTTGTTTGCTTTTGGAGCACTAATCTTCCAGAGAGTTTACTGGAAGACAATGGTCTGTTTAGGTATGGGCTGAGAGGATTATGTGACAACCTCCTCCAAATATTTTTCTCTTTTTTTCCCCCTCCAATTAGAACAATCCTTTTTATGTAAAACCAAGAGTTGCCGTTCACAACTTTGGAGTGAAGCACTACGCTGGGGAGGTAATTTCTTTATTTGCTGAAATTATTCCAAGCAGAGCTTTCATTAGCTTAATTTTCCCCCAAGGCTGCTCAAAATTAACTAAAGCACTCTGTTCCCTCAGCACTTTTTTACAGCACCGCTCTTGTGAGAGGTGCCTGACTGTTTGGCTTGTTGTTTGAACCAGCTCTGTTTCCTTCTAGGTCCAGTATGATGTCAGGGGGATCTTGGAGAAGAACAGAGATACTTTCAGAGATGATCTCCTGAACTTGTTGCGTGAAAGCAGGTAAGTTTCTGCGATTTTTGTTAAGGACATGATGCTAAGGGGTGTTGTATCAACTAATTCTGCCAGGATTGAACACTTAATTCTGCTGGGGTTTGAATGTGTTAGATATTGCATAGCAGCAGACATTGACAGACCTGAAAGGAGCACAGAATGAAATAGAGATGAGGATATTATATCACAGAAATGAGTTGCCTGTAAGCAGGTCTGACTGTAATTGGTTCTCACAAAGCTGGGTTTGCCTACATTGTACTATTGTTGCTGTTCAGTCCAGGAGCTTCCTAGAGAACTAACTTGCTGCTCTGTAATGGGTAAGGATGCTGGAAGGTGGTCATGGTTTTTAACTGTTTCAGAGTGCCTCATAGGCAGCGTGCATGTGTGGTTTTTTACTTCATGTTTGTGTTTCTGGCATTCCCTAATTGGTTGAACACTTGCTGTTGGAGACTACCACGGTGCAAAATGCCATATAGCAATCGCTTTGAGGGGAGAACTTCTATTAAGATTTATCTGACTGAAAGTCTGAGCTTGGATGCCTTTGGTACTTGCACGTTTCCTGTCATTCTGCTGTGTAAGGTCTTAGGGTCCTTATGGTGGTACCCTGTGAGCTGTGGTGGTACCACATCCCTTTTTGTAGGTGTTTGGGTGAGATTTCAGGACACACAAAAGAATGGCAGAAGAAGAGGGAGCTGAGCCTGGACGTTGCTGTCTCATCTGCTGCCCTCCCCTATCCTATCCAGCCATCCTGCCTTGCTATGCAGGTTGCTTGTTTGTAAATCCTTTAAGCCCTTCTGTGCCCGGGAAACTGTTAATAAGCAATTCCCTCTCTGTTATTTGTTCTGGATTTATGACATTTCTGATATAACATCTGTCAACTGAAGTGTCTAGGTAAAAATATTAAATGAGTTAAACTGGGCTGGGCGTGATTTTGCTTTTACACCAACATCTGTGTGGACCTTGAATTAAAATGTCTGTGTTTCTGTAGAAGTGCTAAGAGTACCCAACCAGTAGTGTAGAAAACAACATGCACAGTTGTTTGCTTGCATGAGTGCCTGTTTTGTGTTATGTCCCTAACCAAGCTGGAAGTCTTGTTTTTCAGTCTTTGTTCAGGTACAATTCTGGTTGCAGTCAGCTGCAATTTTGTTTGAGTGAAATGCAGTAAAGCCTCCAGGACTTCACACTTCATTTCCCTAATGATGTGTTTGGAATTGAGAAGAAAGAACCTCCTGGTTTTGTTGTTTTGGGGTTTTTTTCTCCCCTGGATAAATTTTGCAAAGTCAAAATCTACTGTTTATTAAAGATTGTGGAAAAAATCAATAAGCATGTTTTTGATGGTGGAGCTTCTCGCTAAGAGACAGTGCTTTCTTTGCATTCTACAGTGGTGAACCTCATAGTCTGTTAAGATACACTTCAGAAATACTATCTTTCTTTTCCATTTCAGTCTTGATTTCATCTATGATCTGTTTGAACACGTTTCAAGTCGCAACAATCAGGACACTCTTAAATGTGGAAGCAAGCATCGAAAGCCTACTGTCAGTCTGCAGTTCAAGGTTTGTTAATGTGTCATCTCTGCTCTGTAGCTAATCAGTGACAGACAGACCCTGCTCAGTAAGGAGCAGGTGCAGATCAAGAAAAGCAAAACTCTAGCATGAAAACATTGCTGTCTCTTCTATGACACTGCCCTTGCTAATTAATTGATTGACTGTCCCGGCTAGCTTCAAGTAGACACTAACCTTTCCATCACACCATCCCCACAAATCTCCTGTTGCATTCCCTACTTGCCTATTTGTTCTTATTTTAAAGCTCATCTGTGAAGTCGGTCTCTCTTGTCCTGATTTGTCTTTATAATCTAAATACAGCCACAAAATCCCACAAAGCCTTACAGCAGTGCCTGTATGCTGAGAAAAATAAGTGCTGAATAAATACCTCATTAAGGTGTTGCCTTGCTTTAACTTAAAGTTTGGAAGGCATTTTTGTTAAACACCTTTTTATGAGGCTTTATAGCCTCTCATCAAAAATGGCACCAAATTGAAATCTAGCATAAAGTCTATCTGCAAATTATTTAAAAGGGAAAGATTGGCATGAAACATCTCCTAAATTGCATGAGTACAAGTCTGGATTAGTTGCCTTTCATTTTGTTTGAATTAATATACATTTGCAGAGTTCATTCACTTTTTTTAAAGAAGAGCAGACTCAAACCCCTTAAGGGCAGATTTTATCCTAATAGACTATTGCTATAAATGTTGGACAGAACAGCAAGGAGTGTATGCTGGGGCACACACAATGTCTTTTATTAAAAAACTGATGTATTTTCAGGACAGCTTGCTTTGTGCTACCATAACTCATCTCAGAAGTATCCATTTCTTGTCATGAGATGGTGTTATTTGTTGGTTTTCTGGGGTAGCTGAAGGTACTGTTTCCACTTGGTTAATTCTATATATGCAAAATAGACCTTTAAAATGTTAACCTTACAAAAACAGACCATATTTTTTCACTCATTTGGCAAGGTAGAACAAAGTGTAGTAGTCCTTCTGTTCTCTGTCAGGGGATCTGGAGAACACAAGAGCAATAAAACATGAAATCAAAACATTATTGCCTCTTATCTAATGCTGCAGTAAGTGACCATTAACCAGCTGGGCTGCTTTACAAGATGTTGACTTTCACATCATGCCTTCCCCAGAGAATTAGGTTGGGTGTTTTTTACGTGTTTTAAAGCCTTACAGGGATTAGTCCATCTTATTTCAACTGAAGATAAGAACTTTGCCTTCACAGTTTTATTCTCATGATAAATTGGTTGACTCTTCTTTTCATTTGATGACCTGCCTAATGCAGGCCTGGGGGTGCATGCAGAATAGCAGAGTTTAGATACCATCTGTTTCAGCCTGTTGATTACCAGCGCAAGCTCCAGATTAGCTCATCACCTGACAGAGACTTAAAGGCTTGCAGCACTGTGCAGAATCTGGCTGGCTGTACCACAGGTGAAAGTGAAAATAGTTTAAATCATTTTTGTTTAGACTAACCAACTTTTCCAATCTGTGAGTGGGAGCCTGGGATGAGAGAATTGTGCACAGATGTAAGGTTCACATGGGTTTAATATGACTGAAACCTGTACTTTTTCAGAGCTGTAAATATTTATCTTTACACAAAGATTTTCATATTTGTATGTTCTGTTTAATATTTGCTGCCCAGCTCTCTGGTCCTTTGCAAAGGCAAGCAAACCAAGAACTACCATTTATGTTCCCAGTTATTTCGCTGTTTCCTCACTTTGCCGTGCACCAGCTCCTGTGCACAGCCATAACTCTGCCTGCTGCCTTTTTCACTGCATGTTCAATCACCAAGTAAGTGCTTGGTCTGCAGATTAAACCAAGAATTTGTTATAACAGACTGACACTGACAGTTTTGCTCCAAGACATATGGCAGGACACACAGTGTTGCTCCTTTAAAATGTGCACTTGCTGTCTCCTTGTCAGCCTTCTCTGTATTCTCTCTGCTGCCTGGCACAAAGTGCCACCTTTGAGGGGAGTAACTTTACCATTGCTGACTTTGTGGGTTCTTCAGAGCCTGAGCTCCTCTCCTGTACCATCATTTGTACCTCTGCAAAGTAAATGCAAGACTTCAGTTTAGAAAGGTTCATCATACTTAATGATACAGAATGAGGCAAGTTGGAATGAGATACGGAATGATGGCTCAGATGGGAAAGGGGCGGATGCGTAATTAAAGTAATAATCATAAAAGGACTGAGGGATTTTATGATTTTTATCTTCAGGCTGAGGTTCAGACAACTGATAGTCTAATGTGCATTGGATCATTCGGAGTTCTAAAGCTAGGAAAAAACTTGTCTTCAGGGAAGATGGAAAATCTGTGGGTTGAGGTGGTTGAAATGAAAACAGGGAATGTGAGTTGGTGGATTTTGCCACAGACCCCTTATCCTTCCTTTTGACTTGCTCAAGGTTAGCTGTTTGGGAATGTGGATCCTAAGTCTTAAGCAGTCATCTGAAAGATCCCCGAAACAATAATTTGGTGTTTCCTTACGAACAGTTTTGTTCATATCAATCTGTGAATCTTGTTCATTGTTAAACGGTGATGCCAGTTTTGATCAGAAGAGGCAGTGGGAGAAGGGAACACACACGTATTGACCCCATCCCTTTGGAAGCAGGAGCTCCTAGGGTGCAGTAACTTCTGGCGTGCACCACTAGGTGTTGCAGTTAGATGCTGTCTGCAGCGTGCTGAGCTGCAGGAGCTCTTGTCTGGGCTTATGTTGCTTGTACAAAAATCCAGCTTGTGAGCTACTATCTTCTCTCTACCTGTGTTTCAGGAATCACTTCATTCTTTAATGGCGACACTGAGTTCTTCAAACCCTTTCTTTGTTCGGTGCATCAAACCCAACGTGCAGAAGGTAAGATTTTAAATGGTGTCCATCTTTTCTGTGCATCTCAGGCCTAATCTTTTGCTGCCTGTCTGGTTATTTACCACTTTTTGAAGCAGAGGGTAGCATTCTTCAATGATTTTGTGGAAGGCTTTCAAGGGGAAGGCACTAGGAAGGGCTTTTGAATTTTTTTTTTTTTTTGCACATGGATTATGTACCTCTTTAATAGTCATTGCCCACAACTCTGATAAATGACTGGCTGTAAGGAAGGTTATAAACAGAAGGTAGAAGGCTGCACTTTTTGTGTGACAACTCTGTGAGAGCCTTGTTAGGGAGAAAATATCAAAATTGCAAAGTCTGTTTTGTTTTAGGTCACAAGAGGCAGTGATTCAGATGTGTATAGAAAAACTGGTGTGAATGACTCTGTTGTCAGACTCTTGGTCTTTCAATTTACGAAAATACCTAGAATTGTATGTGCTGGATGTTTTGTTCTGTTTCAGATTTCTGTTTTTAAAATAGGCTTGGAGACTAAGGCTTACAATATCAATTTTTCTTTTGAGTTACAGATAATGAAAGGCAGTGTCAAGATTTGCCTAAATATGTTGGAGGGCTCTCTAGAAATGAAGTGGTAATGGTACAGTAGTCATTTAAATTAGTATTGTTAGCCTGGTTCTGGTATCCTGGGGTTTTTCACATCTGTTTTGGGCATAATAGATTGTTATTCAGGCATGATCTGCTTTTGTCAAAAATACAACAGCCAGAAGTGCTAGTGAATCTGATTTATGGTTTTCACATGGCAACTCAGAGATTGGTGACTTTACTATAAATCCATACTTACATGTTCCATTTTTCTGGGCTGCCTAGGTAATCAGGATACTAACAAAGCAGATGTGTGGATTTCTTTGTAGGTTTTTATGCCACCTGGACAGTACATTCTTGACTTGACATGTTTTCATTTGCTGGCTGTTCTGCTATTTGTGATGTGCCAAATAACATGCAGATTTTGGGCACCTTAGCAAGAGGGAGCAGCCTGGAAGAAAATAAAAACAACTTTCTGTGTCTTGAGGTGTTTGAGAGGTGCTCTGAGGTGTGAAGCCACCCAGGTGGCTGAACCCATGTGGATGACAGAGCCCAGGCCAGTAGCTGGGATTTGTGAGCTTGCATGTTTAGCAAAGTCCCTGATCACAGAAGAAAGGCAGTTTTGAAAAGCTTGTCTGCTTCCCTTCACTTGTTTCTGTCTGGAAGCCCCATGACCCTTAAACAGAAGGATTTCAGTAACAAACTCTCAGGTTTCCCTTATCTGTCTTTTCATACCTGACTAATAATGCTCATCTGCACAGTAGCAAAGGTACAAGGATTTGCTGTGATTGATGCAAGAACCAGGCACTTGTTGCATTTCCATAACAAGGAAAACACCGAGTTCCCACTCCTATGTTCCTTGTTCTTCCAGTCTTTTCCCACTTAATCTTGCTTCATCCCTGACAATTTTGGCGTGTTACTGTATCTGCACATGTAATTTACTACCACTAAAACACAGTTATCACAGAATTAGCAGCTGTGCAAGGAGAAGCGTGAGACAGTCTCTGGGGACCACCTCTAACTGCAGGAGTGCATGCAGGAACAGATTGGGAAATTTCTGTAGACAAACCGTTTCAATGTACATGTAAAATCTCACTGAAATCTTATGCAAAAATGGTTGTACTTTTTTCCATTTTTTCCATTTGCCTTTGTTTGACTGAAAATTTGACTTGAATTTACTTAATGGCTTTACTAAATAAGAAATACTGTTTGAAGAACACGAGTCAAGTGTCACAGAGCTTCTCTTTTGTAGCTGATTCAGTAGAAGACTTGACTGCAAATGAGGAGGACAACCATATATAATGCTTGTCAATGGCATTCTTCATTCAGGGAAGTGTCACCAAAATGCACTGTTGGGAGTTTTGCCTGCTGTATGTTGCTCTGTCCCCCACTCCCTGGTGAACAGACACAGTAATTTTTAGTGCTGACCTCATGAGATTGGCGGTGTCTCTCCTTCTGCAGCAGTGCAGGTACTGGAGCAGGCACAAAAACAGCACTTGGCTGCTGTGTACCTTTGCTGGATTTGTGGGTGCACATCCCATTGAGCAGTTTGCAGTTTATCCTCTCATACATCCTCATGTCACTTCTTTTCAGTTAGACAAAGGAAAATAAGGTGACTCAGTTTGCTGTGAACCAGCATGGCTCAGAGACACGGGAGCTGTGCATGGACTACCAGGGATTGCCTAACTCACTGTGCAGGGCTGGTTAGGAAAAAAAAAGTGCTTGAAAGATTCGGATGAGCTACTGAAGTGGAGTAAACTTGGATCAAAAGCAAGTAAAGGTCTTCACTGAGCATTTTCCTCTGTGTTTTCCCTCGGCAGTCATGGTGATATGGAAAGATAAATGTCACTCGGAAGGTACTTGAACAGGGCTTGCCAAATACCTAAGTATGTGGAAGAAAGGGGTGTTTTACTGTTTTTTTGAAATACACAGCATTAAAGGAGAGTTGGACCAGGGAGATTCATCAAGGAGAGAGCTGAAATTGTCTTACTGGGGGCAAAGCCTCTCCATCTATTTGTTCCTCTCTGGACTGGATACAAATAGGGGACACACCTGTTGGTGAACATCCTTTGTAACTGGAGGGGAGGAGCTGGGGGAGCTCAAGTGTGTTTGAATTCTGTAGGTGAATGAAGTTAAGCAAATAGAAGTCAAATTCAAGCCTATGAAAAGCAGAATGTATAGCAAGCTACTTTCTCTGCTGTTCTAGATATTGAAGCGTATTCATGTTGGTACCAGATGTGATAATTTACAGTAATTATTTCATTGTTTTAATTTTTCTAAAGTTCAGTTTTTAAGTATATTGCAGTGGCAGGCAAAAACAATTCAGCTTAAGCAGTAAACCACTGAACATTTACATATGAAAGCAAGTTCTACACTCATTAGTGCAATTTCCTAAAGGGAGTGCGTGGAGTGTGTGACCTTTTGTCACAAGACATTTCGGCAGGCAGGCCTCAGACAGAAGGACAGAGGACCCATTAATCTTTGGGAGACCCCAGAACAATCAGGGTATCTGTTTTCACAATTTCCAATCTGTTCTGAACTATCCATAACATGGAAACTTTTCCACTTGGTATGCTTAATGAGTGTTTTCTGCTAATGAAGTGTCTTTCTCCTCAGCTCTCCTTATCTTCACTGCAGCTGGCAGAACTATGTATCATTTCATCCCTTTGAACTTTAGCACATCTTTCTCTCTTTTTTGGTTTCATGTTTCTTTTTCTGTCTCCTGTTTTATTTGATAATGATTCCTCCCTGCAACCTTGCCTTTTCTGATCTCTTTCTCCTTTTCTTCGTGTGCTTTAAATTAAAAACAAACACCACTACAAAAAAAGCCAACAACAAAACCAAACCAACAAGAAAAAAAAAAAAGGCTGTATTTTTAAAAGAATCTGCAGCCATTACTAAAATCATCAGCTGAGTGTTCTTCCAGCTTGCTGCTATTAATAAGTTGCTAAGCCTTGGTGCTATTCAGGAGACAGATCAGAGTAAATTTAAGATCTAAACTTCCTATTCAAGCAGTTTCAGAGGCAGAAGTTTTCCTATTGCCCAGAAGCAGCCAGCCTTGTGCAGCTTGGCTCAAGTGCTTTCTCAGGTTCCCTTTTCTATTTAGGCTATTTCTTGAAAATACATTGGCATAATCTCCAGTGGCATGATACTGGTATAATCATAGCAAGTGGCCCCACCTCCAGCATCTGCAGGGCCTCAGCTGTTCTGGTCTCTCAAAACCTCAGTTATTACAGCTTGTTTTTATAATCCCCTGTTCTTGAGACTTGAACAGGTTCAGATGTGGCCATTCTCTCCTGCACATAAATAGATGCATGCACTTCTCTTTGGTTACAGATCTAAGGCCAGTTTGGTCCTGATAGACAAAATTCTGGCTTAATTGTAGTTCACATGAAGTATTTGATGTAGACAAAAATTTCACTTTTTAAATTGTTTTTATAGAAAACTTGTGTTGATATGTGCCACCAGGCAACAGGATTGCAGGGTTCCCTACTCATGTCTGTCTGCTCATTTATTGTCTCCTTCCTCTGTTGTAGTGATGGTCTTGTCACTGTCAAGATAAAAGCTGCCGTCTCTCAGACCTTGTGATCTCTAAAGGGACAATTCTGTTTCTCTTCAGGTTTTTATATTAACTTTTTTTTTAATCTTAAAATTTAATTAGTTTGGGTAAATAAGTGAGACAAAATTAAACCTGTATTGTAAAGCTACTGCAGGGTAGGGGCTACAGGGAGCAACAGGAAAAATGAAACTGGTAATACCTTAGCAGTTCAAAGGAAGACTGGTCAAAAAAAGTCTGTAATAAATTCTATGAGGTCTACTGCTCTTAGAGTCCTATCATGCTCCATATTCATTCTGGGAAAATTAGTATCAAGGCAATAAGATTGTTAACATTGCTTCTGGGGACAGAGCCATTTGAAGGGATCAAGGTATGGCTATTGGCACCTGCAGTGTACTTTGAGGCATAGGTCATTAATGACCATGAGACACCCTGGAATAGCAAGCAGTTTGTCCTCTAATATGAAATAAGATACAAACCTATTTTGCTTGGCGCCTGAATTAAAATTGTGTTCTTAAAATAGCCCTGAATCATTACAAATGTAAGTTTAGCATGATACCAGCCTAAACACCAGGTAGAAGTACAGCTCAGGAATGCAGTGCAAAGGAACAGTGATAGCAGAGCTTGACCCCGTCTGCAAGGGTGATTGTGTGCAGGGTGTAGAGCAGGTACAAGTGCAGTAGGTGAGCTGGTTGTCAAGCTGGAATTGCAGTGTTGTCATATTGAGATTCAACTGTATGAAATACTGAGTTTGCCTTCTAGGGAGTTGGGGTTTTTTTGGGTTTGTTTGTTTTTTTGTTTTTTTTGTTTTTTTCAGAAATATGGATAAGAAGAGTGCAAGTCTAATGGTACTGCATTGGGAAGAGCACTGACACATAACCTTGAAAGATTCAGG